AACAAATAAACAAGTATTTTATGAAAAATTTTGTTAACATTTTAATAAAAAAATAAAATCAGTGATTTTTATTTCATACAAAATATTCTTTTTAATAAATGTTATTATGAATAGAAAAAGAATTATGAGTTTCGCTACAATGTTGATAATGGGCTTTACTGCAACTAACGCAAAAGTCCAATTTAAAGGTCTTGTTCGAAAGAGTCAAGACTCTATTCAAAAAGAAAATGCAAATCGTTTATCTGATGTAATTTCTAATACTGAAGTCATTAGATATTCAAACCTAGCAATTCAAAAAGCAAGTAAAACAGCTTTCCAACTCTCCAATTATTTAACATTAAACAAAATATTTGGAAGTGTACGAGTTCAAATGCTTCAACAACCAAGCACAAGAATTTTTGAATACGCTTTTAAAGCTAAATTTCCTGCCTCACAAGAATCGACTAGCTTAATATATCCTCGTGCTCGTATGTATCCAATGATAGAACAAGAAGCATGGGCTACATACAAGGGAAAAAGTAATATTTATCGCATATCTTCTGTTTTTTTATGGGTAAGTGGGTTTATTGCTGTATTCAATATTTGGCCTTTTTTTAAAACCCATTCGTTCAATCAGCGTTTTATACCTGAAACATTCATTATTAGAAAAAAAAGTATTGTATCTCAATTCGATAGACGAATAGAAAATGTATGGGACGAACGATTTGCTTTTTCACTCTATAAAAAAGCAAAAATTAACTCAACTTTACTAAATTTATTTTCTATAACAAGTATAGACAAGAATATTTCTTCTAATTTACTTACTAGTGTATCAACTACTAATACTTTACAGACAAATAGTAATACTTATATTATTACCAATAAAGAATTAAAAAGTTATATAACAATTTCAAAACAACTTTTAAATAATTATCAATTAAAAAATAAAGTAAAACAAATGAAGTTACAATTTATAAATTTATTTTTTATAAATTATTTGGATCAACTAGTCAACACAAATGTGTCTATTAATATAAAACCAATACTATCATTTAGTCAAAAATTTACTCAACGAATTATAATAATAGCAAAAGTTGTTTTGAATAGAATAGGAAATTTAGTTCTGAATATTGAAAGCTTCATCTTTATAACGGATAAAGAAAATATGGCAACACAATTTTTACTCATAAGAATTAACTCTGTAGTACAATTTATTTTTCAAACTTTAAATAAATTGATTCGACCATACAATCGAACGATACAGGCTATTTTACTAAGCTGGAAAAATCAATCTCAACAAATACAAGAAAAAATTGAATTGAATTTTAGCTTGTTAAAAGTTTTCTCTAATCCTAATCCACCGAAACAAGTAATATTAAAAAGTTATTTTTTGAAAACAAAGGTAATTCAAAAGAGTATTAAGTTTAAAGAAGAAATTGCAGAAACTTTACATATTTTTAAACACAGCGTTTTTATCTATTTAGCCAGACTGAGCCTTATTTTGGGTCATATAAAAAAAGACATAATATTCAAAAATAGAGGTGCTAAACGATTGATAATTCCTTTTCATTTCGATTTAGACTATGTTAAAAGAACAATTGACACAAATAAACTTTGCGCAATTTATCCTCGATCAGATTATAAAAACAAAATGTTGAAATCAACATCTCAAATACAAATGAAAAAAGACAACAGAGATCTGTTTCAGCAGTATTATAAAGTAAGATTAGCGATAAAAAATCTAAATCAAACAGCTCATAAATATTTGCAAACCGTTTTTTTTATATTGATGAATCAAGTTTTACAAAATTTACAAGTAATCGCATTGTTGATAAAACAAAAAAAGAATACGCAAATAGCTTTGCATATAGAAGGTTTTTTTGAAAACGAAAAAGAGATGCGTTTTTCAATAAAACTTAACAAAGAATTATCTTACCTTTAAATCAAACATTGTGATTTAGTTCAATTATTTAAATTATTCAAGAGCTAAAATGAAAGTAAAGTATTTCAAATAAAACATATTTAGTTATTAATAAGTATTTATTTCAAATACTTATTAATAACTAAAAGAACAAAGTTGAAAGACAGCAGATCTTAGTATATAAAAATTATCTTTAAAGTAATAACAAGAGAACAGATAGTTGTTTTCTTTATATTGTAAAAAAATAAAGATTGAATAAAAGCAATTTATATCTTTATTTTTAGAAAAGATAGTTATAAAAACACGTGCAATAGTTTGTCTCTCTCACGCATTAAAAGGATCATAGCTTCGTAATCATTTGGAAGTATGATTTACATAATAACAGGTTGAGAGAGTGAATAGAAATGCTTGTTATTTCGAATTTAGCCTTAAAGTCATAATCAAAAATTAAAGACTAAGCTCGTAAAATAAAGGAGTAATATAGTCTTTGCGTAAAGGCCAACCGATCCAATTTTCAGGCATAAGGATTCGTCGAAGATGAGGATGTCCTTCGTAAAAAATACCAAACATATCATAAGATTCTCTTTCTTGAAAATCAGCAGATTTCCAAAGCCAAAAAAGAGAAGGAACTTTAGGATCATCTCGAGGTACTAGTACCTTAATACAAACTTCTTCAGGTTGATCTGCATAATCCACCATACGAGTAAGATAACAAAGACTTGCAAGAAATCCACCTGGAGAAACATCGTAAGCACATTGACAACGAAGATAGTTAAATCCATAAGCGTAAAGAGCAAGAGCTACAGCCGAAAGATTGTTGGGCCTTACCTCTAACACTTCAACCCCTTGATAATCATAGCCAAGAGATCTATTTTCTAGTTTTCTTGTAGCTAACCAAGAAGATATTCGCCCCCCAACAGGAGAAGTTTTTAGAGAAGTATTTGTAACTAAAGATTGCGAAGAACTAGCTTGAGAACAAAAAAGATTTCGTTTTCGTTGATTGACAACCCTTCCTAATAAAAATCCTGAACCGAAAGAACTAAAATTTACCTTACTTGTAAATGGCAATTGAACGAAAGACCGCTGAGCTTTATGATTCAAAATATTTAATGAATTATTCCATAGGCACTGTTTATGAAACAAACCATAAGATAAAGAAGAAAAAGCCATTGGGACAGTTTTCGAGGTAGGTACTTTTTTTAAAGGAGCAAAAGTTTGTTTTTCTGATTCAGGTAATTGAGTGAGTGGATGAAAAGAACTAGGGGGAATTCTTCGAGTTTCTGACTGAAGATAAGCTCCACTATGAACAGGTGATAGAGAAGTGAAAAAATGGCGAGTAGTGTGATATCGATGTTGTTGGAGAAGAGAGTTTTTTTGCTTTAAACTCTCTTGAGCGACTTTTTTGCGAAGTCGGACAATTGCATCAATAATTGCTTCAGGCTTGGGTGGACACCCTGGCAAATAAACATCTACTGGTATCAACTTATCAACACCCCGCACTGTACTATACGAATCAGTACTAAACATCCCACCCGTTATTGTGCATGCGCCCATAGCAATGACATACTTAGGTTCAGGCATTTGCTCATAAAGCCTTACTAAAGAAGGAGCCATCTTCATTGTAACAGTCCCTGCAGTAAGAATCAGATCAGCTTGGCGAGGGCTAGAACGAGGTACAAGACCATATCGGTCAAAGTCAAACCTAGATCCAATTAAAGAAGCAAACTCAATAAAACAACAGCTTGTCCCATAAAGCAAGGGCCACAAACTTGATAAACGAGCCCAATTTGAATGAAAAAAGCTATATTATCGTATAGCTTTTTTTCCAAGCTGTGCAGGCATCTTATAACGCACACAGCTTTGTACCTGTAAGATTTGGTTTCTTGTTTTACTTATAATATTTTTTTATTCTTTTTTAAAGAAACGAAAACTCTAACAAGCTACTGCCTGTTTCATTTGTTAAAAGAATAGGCAACCTTTCTTGCTTTGCTATAAACAAGTATAGTCGATCGACTGCAAAACGGTTTGGACTACCTAGCACTATTCTTTTTATAAATTTCTTATTTGCTAAATTATTTGTAAACTCAGCTATGTTTACAACTTTGGCATTTTTAACGCATGATGTTTCGATACATTAAGTTTAGCAACAATAAAAAGGTACTTTATATAAATCAAAATTACCTTATTAGAAATGTTTCAAATTCATAAGAATAGAAAAAGATTCTTTGCTTGAAAAGCCCCCTTTATAAATAGTATTATTGGCTATATGACAAACCAAAAAAACTCTATTTATTTCGCATGCTACATTTCTCTCCTTTTTTTTTAAAGGATAAGGAAGCGAAAAACTTGTAAGTTTTTTTACTAATTTTGCCTTAATCGACCCGCATAACATCGTTAAAAGTACTAACTAATACATGAGCTGACGGTGAAGACGATTGGTCTAAAAATCCTACAGGATTTGCAACCTTTTCTATTTCTTGAGGCAAAGAAATTACAGCCATTCAAGGGCTCCTTTTCTCCATGCATATACAAGTCCAATAAGCAAAATAAATAAAAACAGACACACTTCTAAAAGTGCGAGCGCTCCAACCCGGTCAAAAACAACTGCCCAGGGATATAAAAACATAGTTTCCACATCAAAAATAACAAAAACAAGAGCATACATATAATATCGTACACTAAATTGGATCCAAGCCTCTCCCACAGGCTCAATTCCAGACTCATAAGTAGTACGTTTTTCAGCACCCTGAGTTCGGGGAGCCAAAAGCCAAGAAATTGCAACAGCTCCAGGGGGTACCAAACAAAGAAGACCAAGGAATGCTACAAAAGGACCGTGAATAGGAAAATGATTCATAAAGTTTAAAGAAACAAATATTTTATCGTCCGTATCTTATTTCACTAATTCATTTTAGTGTATGAACACTACTTAATTATAAGAATTTTTAAATAATACAAACTTCGCGATATAAATAAAAGTTTATATGTCTAAAATAAAAAAGTACTTTATATGTAAATATTGATACTATATATACTTTTAAACTATACAAATATATATATGTAAAAAATAGAAGAAAACGAATCTATTTTTGTAAAATTATCTTGGGTTGCCCGGGGCTCGAACCCGGAACCGTTCGGACTAAAAGAGCAACCTTCTCTCTATCAAAGGCAGGTTCTCTTTTTACCAATCGTGCAAGCAATTTTAAAAGCACACGGCTGGCCTAGTGTGCAAAAAAAAAGAGGTTGTTATTCAATTTTTCTCTGCACACCGGACAATCTTTTTTTTATATTTACATTCTTATTAAGAAGAAATATATTATGAGGATTGCTCATCTACCTTTCAGAAACAAAAAGGAAAGCTTATTGGTAGCTATATATCCAACGATAAGACTTAAAGAAAAGGGTAAGATTTTGTCAAAACAACGAGAGTAGTTCAAATATCGTTTCAAGCTTCTAAAAAAAGTCCGTTGTTTTTAACAAAGGCAAAGATTTTTAACCATCTTCTACCACAAAGAACTTTTATTTCTGAACGAAATATCTAAATTTCGTTCTATTTTTGCAAACTGTTAATCGTTTTTTAGACTTTGAACTGAATAGATCTCCCTAAGCTTGCTTTTGAAAATTGTAACTAAACGGCATGCTGTTGTCCCTTTTTGACAAAAAAATCAAAAGGTAAGCCATAAGTTTATACAATTTAGAATAAATCTAAATTGAAGTGGATAAGAACCCCATTTAACTTTTAAAAGCCGATTACTCTACCATTGAGTTAGCAACCCTTTAAAAAAAAATAAAAGCAACTATACTGAACAAATATTTTAGTACAAGAAATCTTTTTGTCAAGTTAGCTAGACTTGGTTGAAATATTTATAAAAGCTGTAATATTCATTTTTATTACATAATATAAACAATATTTATAGTAATAAAATTGATTAAAAAACTATTTTGTTTTTATTTATAGAATATTACAAAATTTCATAGATGATAAAACTAAAAAAAAACCTTCAAACTCGTTAAAAAACTACGAAAAAATTGAAAAACGCACCAGTTCAATACAAAAAAACGTTTGTCTGATTTTTTCTCGTTTAAAATAAAAAGAAAGTAACCGTCGTTGTAAACTTACAGGAAGGCAAACAAAGTTTTGTAAACAAAATTTGAATTCAAGGTTTTTACAAAGTGCCGTTAAATAACAAGCTTCTGCGTGAGCAAGTTCAGCAAGCTGACACAACATTTGATCTGCTTTTGGATTAAAGTAGCGCCGTAAATACGGTAAAATTCGCCTTCGTATTCTGCCTCTATGCCATTCATATCGTTGATTACTAGGGTCAAGAGTTATACAAAAGTTTTCTTTCTTACAAATCGCAGTGGATTGGGATCGAGTTATAGTGAGCATCGGACGAGAAAGAAATACTCCAAAAGCAAGTTTTCTTTGCCAAGAAAGAGATGAAAGGCCTCCTTGACTACTTCCTCTGAATATAGTATAAAGCAAAGTTTCAGCGCGATCACTAGCCGTATGACCTGTAAAAATTTGAGAGTAATTATGAGCTTTTCCAATCCGAGCAAAAGACTCATATCGCCAAGAACGGGCCTTAGCCTCACCAATTACTCGTCGCGGAGTAATACTTTGATAATACTTTATTCGACTGTACCAAGCCAATTGACTTATTTGAGAACAGGATTTTGATTTACGATCAAACCAAGCATGATCACAAGAAACAATTGCTAAGTTCCATTTCCAAAACGGACAAAGAATCCTAATTGCTTGGAAAAGACAAGCCGAATCCTGTCCTCCTGAAACAGCAATAAGCATCGATTGACTTTCTATTGCTAAGCCACGTTCAACAAGTACTTGATTCAGTTTTTGAATGAAAAAAATCCATCTCATTAAAAACTCCTTACTTTTTTTTTATAAATCTGTTGACGAGATACAGAAAACGATTGTACTATAAAAATAAAAGCCGAGATAGCTCAGATGGTAGAGCATGGGACTGAAAATCCCCGTGTCACCAGTTCAATCCTGGTTCTCGGCATATAAAGAAAACAGATTCTAACGAAAAAACTTTTATATAGTTTATGGTAATTATTTCATAATCAATTGAATCTTTTTCATTATTAATATTACAAACTTTCTGTAAATACGAATCTATATTTCATTGCTCTTTTATATAAATGATTCAACTAAATTTTTGTGACTTTAGATTTTTATTACACTTTTAAAAACTATTCACATAATTCACTTTATTTTTAAACAAATTGAATTTGAAGGATCTAATTTAAAATAAACAGAATTACAAAATTATAAGCAATTTTTTAAGTTGCTTATTAAGTTTATAGGGTAAATCAATATATAATTTAGATAAAAAAAAAGCTTTAAAAACCCTAATGATGAAAACTGATTAATGTTCACATTACTATTGACAAAGTATCTATTATGCGCTAATATATATCTTAGAAACAAAGGTTACAGCCCCCATCGTCTAGAGGCCTAGGACATCTCCCTTTCACGGAGGCGACGGGGATTCGAATTCCCCTGGGGGTAAGCAAAATTATTTTGTATTGCTAATAAAACTACGAAAGCAGTAATATATAGGGTCGATGCCCGAGTGGCTAAAGGGAGTGGACTGTAAATCCATTGGCTTATGCCTACGCTGGTTCAAATCCAGCTCGGCCCATCACATGTATTGTGAAACGAAAAACATAAATCATTGCTTTATATTTATGCTAAAATAGAAGCAGTTTTAAGTGGGGGCATGGCGGAATAGGCAGACGCAGTGGACTTAAAATCCACTGGCCCTTTGGGCCATGAGGGTTCAAATCCCTCTGCCCCTAAATTATTTATTGAAAAAGGTAAAAACACCTTTTACAAGTAAAGGTGTATACTTTAATTTGTTCCTTTATTTTTTAGTATTTGGAGGAAGATTTAAATGCCCACCATATTTGTTTATTTTGGCTTACTTTTTGCTGTCTTAGGATTTGCCCTAGTACTGCTACTTGGGCTTAGTAAAATTCAATTAATTTAGATATTTCAAAAAGATACAAAGTGTTGTCTTTTTGTAATATGTTAACAAAGATTAAAAATCCTTTTACCTTCATCTTATATTTAATATAAAAAAATGGTTGAACCTCTGCTATCTGGAATTGTACTTGGGTTAATTCCCATAACTCTTGCTGGGCTTTTCATGACTGCTTACTTGCAATATCGCCGTGGGGACCAGCTAGAACTTTAACTATTTTCATAAAACAAGCCCCTTTTTAAAAAAGGGGCTTTTAAAATAAAAGAAATGTAAATTTTTTAGTAAATAAAATTAATGTAATCTATATATTTATCTTAATCAGATAATTGACCTTCAGACTCGTATCAAGTACAATCTTCTTTGCCCCTTTTTTCATTTCTAAGGGGCAAGGAAGGATGGCCGAGTGGTCGATGGCGTAGCATTGGAAATGCTATGTAGGTTTTGGCCTACCGAGGGTTCGAATCCCTCTTCTTCCTCATTTTAATAAGTTTTTCGTTTTTTAAACAGTTTTAAAAATTTCAATGAAATGACTTATGAAATTTATAACTTTCGGGCATAGTATTCTACAACCAACAGCTCATTTATAGGAAATCCGATTGCCTCACGTTCAGGCAAATGACGGACACTACCCGTAGATCGGGGAGACTCAACACTTAGATGATTTGGTAGACGAGACAGATTTGTCACTGGAAGATTCTCTAAAAGAGAACGAGTTGAAGCTCGATCAATTCGCACTGCAATACGATCTTCCGGTTTACATCTGTAACTAGGAATATTTACTCTATGATTATTTACTAAAATATGTCCATGACTTACTAATTGTCTAGCTGCGGGGATAGTTGGAGTAATACCTAAGCGAAACACAAGATTGTCTAAACGCATTTCAAGAAGCTGTAGCAAAGCTTGACCTGTTCCATCTTTCGATTTTCTAGCAAGCTTGACATAAGTTAAAAGTTGTCTTTCAGTTACACCGTAGTGATATCGTAATTTTTGCTTTTCTTTGAGCCTTGCTTGATAAGGTTTTTCTTTTTTTTGACTCTGAATTTTTGCAGACAGTTCAGCAGTTCTACCAGGAAGATGTCGAATTCGAGGTTTTTTAGAAGTAAGGCCTGGTATCGGTAAATCAGATTCCTCTTTTTTTGATGTAAGTCGACGTACAATGCGAAGACGCGGACCACAATAACGTGACATAAAATAAAACTTTAAAAAAATGGGAGAAGCAAAACAATAATTATGTTTGAAACTTGAAACATATCCTGAAATAAAAAAATAAAATCTTATATAGAGAAAAAAGTATCTAAAAGGCTTTTGCTTTTTTAACCATCCTTCCTTACAAGCAAATATCAAATGAAGTTTGAAATCTTAGAAAAGTTTTCAAAAAATTTTTGCCTTTTGGTTTCACCGTTCCTATGATACCGGTATAATTTGGCAGGCTCTCTCTAGATACCAGAGTTTTAGAGAAACAAATAGAAACAGACACAATGAAATGAATGTATGTCATTTCAACTCTTATAACTCCGATATTAACAGCTTTTAAATGGAAGCATTATAACGGTAATGGAATTTTATTACAAGAGTTTGCTATGTAGCTAGCCTATCAGTTCAAACTTTATTTAAAAATATTTTTTCAATAATTTTTCTCTCTGCGTTGATACTCTCAAGAGAGTAGTAATTTATTTTGCGTGAAGCAAATGGATTTTCACCAATCTATATCATAAGTTTTACCCTTGCTTTTTAACAAAGGATAGGAACAAATCCTATTCGAGCCACACATAAATACACCCGAGTACATACTCCTCTTCTTTGAGGACAAGCTCGTAGGGCAGGAGACTTAGTCTTTGAGACTACGCGTTCCCTAGAACCACGTGTCAACTGATGGATTGTGGGCATTTTTTCAACCTGTTTAAAAAAGTGCCAATAAATTGTGACTATAAACTTTTTTTTAACTATCGGCCCAAGGTACGGATTCCATACTTGCTACTACTTGATCTACGACACCATATTCTTTAGCTTCTTCTGCCGACATAAAGGAATCTCTTTCTAAATCTTCGGAAATTAAATTGCGAGGTTGCCCAGTGCGAATGGAATAAATTCGAGTGATTTCATCACGAATTCGAAGAACCTCATTTGCTTCCATCAGAAATTCGCCCGCTTGTCCATCATAATAAGCGCTTGACGGTTGATGAATCATGACTCGAGCATGAGGCATTGCAATACGTTTACCAAATTCTCCTCCCGAAAGAACAAATGATCCCATAGACATAGCCATACCCATGCAAATAGTAGTAACATCGGGTTGAACATAGTCCATAGTATCAAAAACAGCAAGACCAGCTAAGACTGATCCACCGGGAGAATTTATATACATAAACATTTCCCGTTTCTCATCTTCTGCATTTAAATAAACCATAATTCCAACAAGCTAATAGAAAGCCACTTTTAAACAAAAATTGGACATCCCTTTAGAACCAAAGCATGCATATTAAAACGCACTTGGCTCCCCGCCCAAAAAGATATTTTTTATTTCTCTCGTTTGGGTTGTCTATTGTTACAAAAACAAAGCATAGTTACTGCTTTCAATTTTGAGTGAAAAGCTCTTTTAAAATGATCGATTGTTTCAGACTCAGCTTAACGTTTGCTTAATTTTATTATTTTAATAAGATTGCTACACATCTTTGATAAAAATAAATCTTTTCAATTTTTTTCTTCCTTTTTTACTGTAGTGAGCTCCATTATTCTTATTTTTCAATCAGTAGAACAAGAAATGGCTCAAATTTTTTCAAAATAGATTCATCAGAATCACCAACAGTAGGTTGTTTTTATTTGTATTTTTCTGCATGTTTGGTTGATGAAAAAAGAGAATTTAGTTTCGCTTAAAATAGCAGGCTTTCAATTGCTGGATTTCTACCAACAAGTTGCTATGAAGCGTGTGCAATAAAGTAAAAAAAATTTTCTTCTCACACTATCAAGAATTATAGCTAATTCGCGAGATTGCAGATTTCATCATTGACAGCTTGTGCAAGAAAAAGAATTCTTTCTCTATATAGTAAATTATAAATATCTACATAACTTGCATCTTCTTCACCAGGTAAACGATAAGGAACTTTTGGAACACCAATGGGCATAAGCAGAAAAACAATACTTTTGATATCAATGCATACGTTTTTTATTATTTATTAGCAACAAAAAACAAAGGATGCTATGGCAGCTTATAGTATAAACTATAAAAACAATTATAGTTTTTATTTGCACTTATTTTGTTTGAAAAGAATAGAGTATAGTTTACTAGTAGATATCAATTAAATGGTATACTAACTAGGCCGTATATGCTCTTATTCGAGAAAAAAGGCAAAAAGACTGCGATAATATAAAAATGATTAACAAAGCAAAAAATTTCTTGATTCAATAAGGAGTTTTCCTATGGGATTGCCTTGGTATCGTGTTCATACTGTAGTCTTAAATGACCCAGGCCGCTTAATTGCAGTTCATCTAATGCATACTGCTTTAGTTTCTGGCTGGGCAGGATCAATGGCTTTATATGAACTTGCTGTATTTGATCCTTCTGATCCAGTTCTTGACCCTATGTGGCGACAAGGAATGTTTGTTATCCCTTTTATGACTCGTTTAGGTGTAACAAAATCTTGGGGAGGCTGGAGTATTAGCGGACAAACAGTTACAAATGCAGGACTTTGGAGCTACGAAGGAGTTGCCGGAGTACATATTGTTTTATCTGGACTCCTTTTCTTAGCAGCCATTTGGCATTGGGTATATTGGGACTTAGATCTATTTAGAGACGATCGTACAAGACAACCATCTCTAGATTTACCTAAGATCTTTGGTATTCATCTGTTTTTATCAGGTGTTCTTTGTTTTGCTTTTGGAGCTTTTCATGTAACAGGACTTTTTGGCCCTGGTATTTGGGTATCTGATCCATATGGTTTAACTGGGCGAGTCCAGCCTGTGGCTCCAGCCTGGGGAGCAGAAGGTTTTGACCCGTTTAATCCAGGTGGTATTGCCTCCCATCATATTGCTGCTGGCATCCTTGGAATTTTAGCAGGCCTATTTCATTTAAGTGTTCGCCCACCTCAACGTCTGTTTCGTGCTCTTCGAATGGGAAACGTTGAAACAGTTCTATCTAGCAGTATTGCAGCTGTATTTTTTGCTGCATTTGTTGTAGCTGGTACGATGTGGTATGGATCCGCAGCAACACCAATCGAACTTTTTGGTCCTACTCGTTATCAATGGGACCAAGGTTATTTTCAACAAGAGATAGAAAGACGAATTGAAGCACAAGTTGCACAAGGAGTTCCTGCATCTAAGGCCTGGTCTAACATCCCAGCTAAACTTGCCTTCTATGATTATATTGGAAATAACCCAGCGAAAGGCGGCTTATTCAGAGCAGGAGCTATGGATAGTGGAGACGGAATTGCTGTTGGTTGGTTAGGTCATGCAAGCTTTCAAGACAAAGAAGGGCACGAACTTTTTGTTCGACGTATGCCTACTTTTTTTGAAACTTTTCCAGTGGTCCTTGCGGATGAAGATGGAGTTGTTCGGGCTGATGTTCCTTTCCGACGTGCTGAATCAAAATATAGCGTTGAACAAGTAGGCGTAACTGTCCAATTCTATGGCGGTGAGCTAGATGGGGTGCGTTTTACAGATCCTGCCACTGTTAAGAAATATGCAAGACGAGCTCAATTAGGAGAAATTTTTGAGTTTGATCGTGCTACGTTAAAGTCTGACGGTGTTTTCCGTAGCAGCCCACGTGGATGGTTTAGTTTCGGCCATGCAACCTTTGCTTTGCTATTTTTCTTTGGTCATATTTGGCATGGAGCTCGGACCTTGTTCCGAGATGTGTTCGCTGGTATCGACCCCGACCTCGGTGATCAAATCGAGTTTGGCGTGTTCCAAAAACTAGGCGATCCTACAACTCGTAGACAGGCCGTTTAAGCTAAACTCCCCTCTAATTTGAAAAAAGAGGGGTTACACAACTCATTCAAACATATGGAAGCTCTAGTATATACATTTCTTCTCGTAGGTACTCTTGGTATTATATTCTTTGCTATCTTTTTTCGAGAGCCACCAAAGATCACTAGCAATAAGAAATAACAAGGACCCTATACAGGGTCCTTAGAACAAGTGAGATATTTAGTCTTCGTGCTCCTCAAAGGGGTCTCTTAGCTCCTTTGATGGCTGTCCAAAAGCAGTATAAAGAGCATAACCAGTTACACCTACTAAGAAACAAGAAAGAAAGATTGTGATCAGGGTGGCGGGTTCCATACAAAAATAGCTCCTCCTGAAGGGCATATTCTATCATAATACGAAAAGCCAATTAGATCTACGTTAAGCCCCTTCTTATACATATATGGCGACTAAAACTCTTGACCAAGATCCTAACAAGCAGCGGCCTGGTGCCGCAGTAAGCAGCGTGCTTAAGCCTTTGAATGCAGAATATGGAAAAGTTGCTCCAGGGTGGGGAACCACTGTCTTAATGGGAGTATTCATGGCCCTATTTGCTGTTTTCTTGGTAATTATCTTAGAACTTTATAACGCTTCAGTGTTACTTGATGGAGTTCCTGTAAGCTGGCAGAGCGTGCAAAGCTAACGTAGCCTCTTGCCATTAAAAAAAGATATTTTTGTAGCCCAATAACTATAACTTTGGGCTACAAAAATATCCAATGTTTATTTGTTTATTCTTTAAAAGCTTATTTTTTAAAGGTTCCCTGAAAGATTTCTAAATTTGTAAGTTCAATGTTAGGGCGCTCAATCGTGTAATTTTTTATTGATTGCATTCTACTTTATGGGTGTGCTTGTGATTATCTATTACAATTTTTATACTATGACTCTTTAGAAGTTATACCGAGTGGTATGATTTGGCAGCTAATAGAGCGAATAAAATTAGACTTATGAGACAATTTAAATAAATAGGTAATTTAGGCAAAATGTTTTTAACGAAAATCTTCTTTACGCACATCGGAGAAGAATCAATTCATTGGAACAAAAGTTTTACCAAGTCGCATGAGTCCGAGAATAATTGTGAGAAGATAATTCTTTCTCTAGAAACTTAATTGTAATGAATATTACAAACTTATATGATTCAATTTCATTTAAAAAACTAGAGATAGAAGGGAAAAATGAATAAAAAATTAAACTTTCGTCTCTTTATATTTTTAAATTCAGTAAAAAGATTTAAAAAGAGACAGGGCCGTATGAGTTAAAAACTCGTGTCCGGCCCGATGAGAGGAAAACCAAAAGGTTTTCTATCCAGGCGACTCGCATCTCTCTTTGTAAATGATTAAAACAATAAAATCATTAGTCGACTCAGGCTTTGTCTTCGGTGACGGAGAAAAGTAATGCTTGAGTAGGATTGGAGTTTCAACAATCCTGTACCGATTTTTTTAAAAATTAGGTTCGTTTAAACAAATGTGCAATTAAAAAACCTTAAAAGTTAGATAAAAAAAAAGCTGGAGTTTGATCAAATCCTTTGAATAAACTTCTTTATACCAGTTCTATTTATATAAGGTATAGCATAGGCCTAACACGTGTGAATTGAAGAAACCCATAGATAAAATATTATGACCTTTACTTCTTAATTCTATTTAAAAGATAAAAAAGTACTTAACTTTTTTGCTTAAAAGGTCTAATTCACTAAAGCGCTCTCTTTTGCCTCTTACAGAAAGGGTAAGAAGAAAATAACATAGGAGAAATATACAAAAAAGATAAGAAGATATTTTCAATTTTGTAAAAATGCATTTTAGCTTGTATTGACACTTGTATTGTTTTTTGAATTGTAAGACAAGCTTATCGTGCTAGATAAAAAATGATTCTAAACATATTTTTTATGCTATCGAAGTACTGAGTGTTAGTATTTTGGATAAAACATTGAAGCATAAAACACAATTTTGCAAAGTCTATTCTTATAAAAACAAAAAGTAGTGTCGAATATTTTGCTTTCAATCTAAGGAATAAACCAATAAATCTTAACAAAATGAAAAAGAGCCAATAATAAAAGGTATGGCAAACTATATCTAACAAGATTGTTACTTTTTTACAAGTAAAACTTAATTGATATCAGTTTAGAGCCGTGTGCCTATAGTTTTGCATGCACGTCTCGAAGTGAATTAGTCAGGTAATCTATTAGCCTAACTCATTTTCTGTTCTACGAAATAAACAAAAGAGAAGACGAGATAGTTTTTACTAGGCAGAAAAAATTTGAACTATCCTAGTACAAAAGATAAAATAATTTGTATCTTTCCGAAGATATGAATTGTGCCAACTAATAAATTAGAAAAACATAAATTATTTTTTATATTTTTTGTTATTAGTATGAGCCGGACGATGCACAAGCTTCATGTCCGATTCTAAAATGGAGGAAAGCTTTTATAGTTTTCCTATCGAATTAAAGTCTACGATTGGTTTGAAGAAAGATTAGAAATTCAAGCAATTGCTGATGATGTAACAAGTAAATATGTTCCTCCTCATGTAAACATATTCTATTGTTTAGGAGGCATAACTCTAACTTGTTTTCTTGTGCAAGTTGCAACTGGTTTTGCAATGACTTTCTACTATCGCCCAACTGTGACAGAAGCATTTGCATCGGTTCAATATTTAATGACGGATGTAAACTTTGGGTGGTTAATCCGCTCTGTGCATAGATGGTCTGCAAGCATGATGGTATTAATGATGATTCTTCATGTATTTCGAGTCTATTTAACAGGAGGATTTAAAAAGCCAAGAGAACTTACTTGGGTTACCGGTGTCATTCTTGCAGTGTTAACTGTTTCGTTTGGAGTCACAGGGTATTCTCTTCCTTGGGATCAAGTAGGATACTGGGCAGTAAAAATTGTAACAGGTGTACCCGAAGCAATTCCAGTAATTGGTTCACCCCTTGTAGAACTTTTACGGGGAAGTGTAAGTGTGGGTCAATCCACTCTAACCCGTTTTTATAGTCTACATACTTTTGTATTGCCTCTTCTTACCGCTGTGTTTATGCTTATGCACTTCTTAATGATTCGTAAGCAAGGAATTTCTGGCCCTCTATAAAAAAGTTTTTACTAACTTTGTTTCAATTCAATTAAGACAACCACATTCATTATCTAATGGAATAGAACATAATTATGGGAGTTACTAAAAAACCAGACTTAGCAGATCCAGCGCTAAGAGCTAAGCTTGCTAAAGGTATGGGACATAATTACTATGGAGAGCCTGCATGGCCAAATGATCTTCTTTATATCTTTCCTGTTGTAATATTAGGGACAATTGCTTGCACAGTTGGCCTAGCTGTACTTGATCCTGCTATGATTGGCGAACCTGCAAACCCTTTTGCAACTCCATTGGAAATTTTACCTGAATGGTATTTCTTTCCTGTTTTCCAAATGCTCCGAACTGTGCCTAACAAGTTGCTTGGAGTTCTTCTTATGGCTGCCGTACCTGCTGGATTAATAACTGTTCCGTTTATTGAAAATGTAAACAAATTTCAAAATCCTTTTCGTCGTCCAGTAGCCACCACTGTATTTTTACTTGGTACTGTTGTTGCTCTTTGGCTTGGCATTGGCGCAACCTTACCAATTGATACTTCTCTTACTTTAGGTTTGTTCTAAACTTTCAAGCTTATGAAGCAATAAATTTTATTTAGCTTTTGCCTAAGGGGAGGAAACCCTCCTTAGGCAAAAAAACCTATTCGACTAAAAAGTACCATTTAATTATACTAAAATGCAATTTTATAAAATATATCGTTATTTTTTATAAATAGTATTAAAAAACACTATATATTTTTATGATTTTTATTTGCGATATTTTATTACAAATAAAATGAAACAGTTGACAAGAGTTATACAAAGTGTTAATATATACGTAAGCCAAGTTTTAAACTTGGAAGTCAATAAATGTACCTAAGATTGACTTAAGTAAAATTTGTTACGAGTATTACGTGATAAAAAACAAATACGATAACAAAGTTCGTTAAACAAAAAAGAATAGAACCATTACAAATGGTTCTAAATTCGTTTAAACTTTTTTACTTCTTTTTGATTTGTTGCTCTAAATCAACAAATCAAAAAAATTAGAAAGAGATTCAAATCTTGTATATCTGCACTTGGAGAGCCGTATGCAATGAATAGTTGCATATACGGTTCGGGAACAGAAAGTTAAATATAAGTCCATTTGACAAAACTTAACTTTCGAGTTTCATTGATCGTGCTCCACTTCCTATTGGGTGTGGCTTGCTACATGGGCCGTGAGTGGGAGCTTAGCTTCCGTTTGGGCATGCGTCCTTGGATTGCTGTAGCTTACTCTGCTCCGGTTGCAGCTGCTACCGCAGTGTTCTTGATCTACCCTATTGGTCAAGGCAGCTTCTCTGATGGTATGCCTCTTGGCATTTCCGGCACTTTCAACTTTATGATTGTGTTCCAAGCTGAGCACAACATTCTTATGCACCCTTTCCACATGCTTGGTGTGGCTGGCGTGTTTGGCGGCTCTCTGTTTAGTGCTATGCATGGTTCCTTGGTTACTTCCAGCTTAATCCGTGAGACTACTGAAAACGAGTCTGCTAACGCTGGTTACAAGTTTGGTCAAGAAGGTGAAACTTACAACATCGTGGCTGCTCACGGTTACTTTGGTCGCCTAATTTTCCAATACGCTAGCTTCAACAACTCTCGTTCTTTGCACTTCTTCCTAGCTGCTTGGCCTGTAGTAGGCATCTGGTTTACTGCTCTTGGTATCAGCACTATGGCGTTCAACCTTAACGGTTTCAACTTCAACCAATCTGTGGTTGACAGCCAAGGCCGTGTGATCAACACTTGGGCTGACATCATCAACCGTGCAAACCTTGGTATGGAAGTGATGCACGAGCGTAACGCTCACAACTTCCCTCTTGACCTAGCTTCCGTAGAAGCTCCTTCTGTTAACGCTTAGGTTTTGTCTCTTGGCTCCTTGCTGGAGTTACCCACGCCTTTAGGGGCGTGGGGGGGCGGATGTAGCCAAATGGTGAAGGCAGTGGATTGTGGTTCCATCATGTGCGGGTTCGAGCCCCGTCATTCGCCCACTTGTCAACTTAGCAAAGTAAGAGTATTCTATTTTTAGATAAATAGGCGGGTATGGTCTAGTGGTAGAATATCTCCTTGCCATGGAGAAGGCGCGAGTTCGATTCTCGCTACCCGCTTAACAACACTTAGTTTTTTTAAAGCTTGAAAGTCTAAGTATATCACTTATTAGTTTAAATTTATAAGTTTTTAACTTTAAGAATTTATATTAGCTATTTTTTCTTGCTTTTACAAGTATAAAAATCTAATATTATGTCTAAAAAAATTTAAATACTTACTTTTCTTGTTTCAATAAAATAGTGATTTTTCTTCTTGTTTGTAAACTTCAATTTTACTTTAATTTATAAAACTTATAGTTAAAACTGTTTTAAACTTTTTTACAAGTCAAGTATGGTTGTAGATATGCACCTACAACCATACTTATTCACTAAACTATGAAATTAGCTAGTTTTTATAGAGTATCAATTGTTTCAAACTCAAACTTGATCTCTTTCCAAACTTCGCATGCTGCAGCAAGCTCTGGGCTCCACTTAGCCGCTTCACGGATCACTTGGTTGCCTTCGCGAGCTAAGTCGCGACCTTCATTACGGGCTTGAACACATGCTTCAAGTGCCACACGGTTTGCAACAGCACCAGGAGCATTACCCCAAGGGTGACCAAGAGTACCGCCACCAAATTGAAGCACGGAGTCATCACCAAAAATCTCAGTAAGAGCAGGCATATGCCATACGTGAATGCCTCCAGAAGCTACTGGTAGAACACCAGGAAGAGAAACCCAGTCTTGAGTAAAGTAAATGCCTCGGCTTCGATCTTTTTCAATGTAGTCGTCTCTCAAAAGATCTACAAAACCAAGGGTTACTTCACGCTCACCTTCAAGCTTACCTACAACTGTACCGGAGTGAATATGGTCACCACCGGAAAGACGAAGTGCTTTCGCTAAGACGCGGAAATGAATACCATGGTTACGTTGACGGTCAATCACCGCGTGCATAGCACGGTGAATATGAAGAAGCAAACCATTATCACGGCAATAGTGTGAAAGACTTGTGTTTGCAGTAAAGCCACCAGTTAGGTAATCGTGCATTACAATTGGTGCTCCTAGCTCTCTTGCAAATTGAGCTCTTTTTAGCATTTCTTCAGAGGTACCAGCAGTAGCATTCAGGTAATGTCCTTTGATTTCACCAGTTTCAGCCTGAGCTTTAAAGGTAGCCTCTGCTACAAAAAGAAATCTATCTCTCCAGCGCATGAAAGGCTGAGAGTTTACGTTTTCATCATCTTTCGTAAAGTCCAAACCACCACGTAGGCATTCGTAAACTGCCCGGCCATAGTTTTTAGCAGAAAGACCAAGTTTAGGCTTGATAGTGCAACCAAGCAAAGGTCGACCGTACTTGTTTAGTTTATCTCGCTCAACCTGGATACCATGAGGAGGACCTTGGAAAGTTTTCACATAGGCTGGTGGAATGCGAAGATCTTCCAATCGAAGAGCACGAAGTGCCTTAAAGCCAAATACGTTTCCTACAATAGAAGTAAACAGGTTGGTTACTGAACCTTCTTCAAAAAGGTCCAAAGGATATGCCACATATGCAATATATTGGTTTTCCTCACCAGCAACAGGTTCAATATCGTAGCAGCGACCCTTATAACGATCAAGGTTAGTTAGTCCATCGGTCCACACAGTGGTCCAGGTACCGGTTGAAGACTCAGCTGCAACAGCAGCACCTGCTTCCTCAGGAGGAACCCCAGGTTGAGGAGTCATCCGAAATGCAGCTAGGATGTCAGTCTCTTTGGTCTCATAATCAGGAGTGTAGTAAGTTAGGCGATAGTCCTTAACGCCTGCTTTAAAGCCAGTACCTGTTTTAGTTTCAGTTTGTGGTGACATTAGTATTTCTCCATAGATATCAAATCGTAGCATCGATCAGAGTGGAATCGACTCGACCTAAGGCTGACAGCGTCACTGTGATAGCGATTAGGTATAAGATCCCAAAGAAAAGACTTGTTCTCTTTGGTTAATCATATTGTAGCTCAACTAATGTCTAATTGCAAGTGTAAGTCTACTTTCATGTATACTGTCTTAATATTAAGCCTAAGCAAATTCATTTGTTTATGGCCATCGATCTATTTAAAAAGCCTGAAATTAAAAAATTGAGCAATCAATATTATTTTTTTCTTTTTGCTTGCAAAGCTCATGAGCCGTGCGCACCTGCTAGCGTCTTCTACATTTATCGAAACAAAGAATATAGGACGAATTACTCAAATTATTGGTCCTGTAATGGACGTGGCATTTTCTCCAGGAAAAATGCCAAGCATTTACAATAGCCTTGTTGTGAGCGGAAAAAATGCAGCAGGCGAAGAAGTCAATGTTACTTGCGAAGTTCAACAGTTATTAGGGGATAATAAAGTACGAGCAATTTCAATGAGTGCTACAGATGGACTCATGCGCGGAATGAAAGTTACTGACACTGGAGCTGCACTAAGCGTACCTGTAGGTGAAGCTACTTTAGGACGAATTTTTAATGTACTTGGAGAGCCTGTTGATAATTTAGGCCCCGTTAATAATACTAAGACTTTTCCGATCCATAGGGCTGCACCAGCTTTTACTCAGTTAGATACTAAACTTGCAATTTTTGAAACAGGAATCAAAGTTGTAGATCTGTTAGCTCCTTATAGACGAGGTGGAAAGATTGGATTATTTGGAGGTGCTGGTGTTGGAAAAACCGTCCTCATCATGGAACTAATTAACAATATTGCAAAAGCACATGGTGGTGTGTCGGTTTTTGGAGGTGTAGGAGAGAGAACTAGAGAAGGAAATGATTTGTACATGGAGATGAAAGAATCAAAAGTCATCAATGAGCAAGACATTTCTCAATCAAAAGTAGCTCTTGTATATGGGCAAATGAATGAACCACCTGGTGCACGAATGAGAGTAGGCTTAACAGCTCTTACAATGGCTGAATATTTTCGTGATGTGAATAAGCAAGATGTGCTTCTCTTTATTGATAACATTTTTCGTTTCGTACAAGCAGGTTCGGAAGTTTCTGCTCTTCTCGGTAGGATGCCATCTGCTGTAGGTTATCAACCAACTCTAAGTACAGAGATGGGAGGTCTTCAAGAACGTATTACTTCCACGAAAGATGGAAGTATCACATCTATTCAGGCTGTCTATGTACCTGCAGATGACCTGACTGATCCAGCTCCAGCAACGACTTTTGCTCACTTAGATGCTACCACTGTACTCTCTCGAGGTTTAGCTGCAAAAGGAATTTATCCGGCAGTAGATCCTCTTGATTCTACTTCAACGATGCTACAGCCTTGGATTGTCGGAGAAGAACATTATGACATTGCACAAGGCGTAAAAGAGACTTTGCAAAGATACAAAGAACTGCAAGATATTATTGCTATTCTTGGGCTTGATGAACTCTCAGAAGAAGATCGTCTCACGGTAGCAAGAGCTCGTAAAATTGAACGATTTCTTTCCCAACCGTTTTTTGTTGCTGAGGTATTTACCGGCTCTCCTGGTAAATACGTTAGTTTAGCAGAGACAATTAAAGGATTCCAATTAATTCTCTCAGGCCAATTAGATTCATTGCCTGAGCAAGCTTTTTACCTAGTTGGGAATATTGACGAAGTTAGCTCTAAAGCAGCAACTATACAATCAGAGAGTGAGTAAACAGGTATGAGCCTTAATCTCCGTGTAATGACACCTATTCGCACTGTTTGGGATGGCCAAGTGCAAGAAGTCATACTACCAACCAACAGTGGTCAAGTTGGCATCTTACCTAAACATGCATCTCTTTTGACTGCATTGGATATAGGCGTACTCCGAGTACGCACCAATACCCAATGGGTTCGTATAGCTCTCATGGGGGGCTTTGCTAAAATCGAAAGTGATCGCGTAACCATCCTTGTAAATGAGGGGGAAAAAGCCTCTGAAATTGACCCCCAAGAGGCCCAAAAAACTCTTGAATTTGCTCAACTTGGTTTAAATAAAGCTGATGGTCCTCGCCAAAAGATTGAGGCAAAATTAGCATTTCGTCGTGCCAAAGCACGGCTTGAAGCTGCTACTCAAGCATCTTCTAGTGGTACTTCTTTATAAAAAGAAAGGGCTATTAAAATAAGGATCAACTAGTAGGCAACCCTCCCTCTCTGCCTTATCTTTGAAAAAGAATATAGGGAGAGAAGGAGGGTTGCCTACTAGTTGAGTAGAGCTCACTGTTTGAACTCTCTCATAGGATCCGCACGTGCACCTCTCGACGCATGCGGCTCGAGCACCGTTGTAGCAAAGTAAGATTGGTATAATTGATTCTTTCTTCATTTTAACAAGGCGCTTGAGCAATTAAGCTCTCTAAATCTATTATGAAAGCAATATACTTTCAGTTTGCTTGTTACTCGATCCTTTGCCCAACATGAAAGTATTGGGCTTACCCTGTCTTACTGATAACACACACCTTTGTTCTGGCTAGACTTTGCTCCGGCAGCCTTGCTTTTATAAAACTTTTCAGCTTTCAAAAACATATGGGGGTCATACATTGATCCAATCCTTGTATCCCAGACTGCGGGCTTTAGCCCATTAAGATTGACAGCGATCCCTTTGTTCATTACGAAGCAATGATTGTCTAACCACTCCAAAGATTGCTGGATGGCTTTCATTGAAAGCCATTTCTTCCCGCTTCATACACGGCTCATTACTGTCTGCCGTCCTAGGAATTTTCCACGCTCTGACCCACAAGCGCCGGCTTTATTGACCGGATTGCTATCAGTAGTTTCAGGTCGCACTTGGATTTGAACCAATGACTCTTGCCTTATGAGAGCAACACTCTAACCACTGAGTTAAGTAGGCATATCCTTATGATACTTTATTGAAAAAATAGCTTTAATATAAAAAAAGTAAAATACAAGAATGATTGATTGAAACGTCAAACTGGGGATGGTCTTCTAACCCAAAACTTGCAATAGATTCATAAATTGTTCAATGATAACAACAGATTGGCATGAAGAACTAAGAGCTCTTACAAAAGCCGGCGCTCATTATGGGCACCCAACAAGCCGATGGAATCCTAAAATGCACCCTTATATCTTTCGGCAAAAAAAAGGTATCCATGTTATTGATTTGGTCCAAACTGTACGTCTTCTTTCCGAAGCATGTCAATTTTTAACAGTTGCAGCAAGTAAGGGAAAGCAATTCTTATGGATTGGTACTAAGAAACAAGCTTCAAAAGCTGTCATGGAACATGCTAAAAATGCGAAATGCCATTTTGTAAACAAAAAATGGCTCGGTGGAATGCTTACAAATTGGCCAACTGTTCGTAGACGAATTTGGAAACTCCAAGGTCTTGAAGCACGTGAAAGAAATGGTTATATGGAGCTTCTTCCTAAAAAAGAAGCCTCAATGAAAAGAAAACAACTGGCTCGTTTACGCAAATATTTGGGAGGAATGCGGCACATGACCCGATTACCAGATGTTGTTGTGTTAATCGGTCAAAAAGAAGAAATTACCGCATTGCAAGAGTGTGCCAAACTTGGTATTCCAACTGTATGCATTGTCGATACTGATTGTAATCCAGACCTGGCTTATATCCCTATTCCTGCAAATGATGATTCAACAGCGTCGATTGGTTGTATTTCAGAACGGTTAGCTGGAGCAATTCGTAGGGGATATTTCTTGCGTAATGGAAAAAGAACCCGATCACAAGCTAGGATGAAGCACAATAAGGATCCACTTGTCGAAGTGGCAATATAACAACTATTAACGCACGTAGATAATACGTTCACATAGCCTGGAGTAGGTAAAGTCCTGCTCTTTTCATTTATTCTTAGCCGACTATAAAACCAACTATGAGTATTTATTCTGGTCTATTTGTGGCATCACTAACCCCCGCTTTCCAGCTTGCTAGTGTGGAAGTTGGACAACATTGGTATTGGCAGCTTGGGCAGTTCCAAGTTCATGCCCAAGTTTTGATCACATCTTGGGTTGTTGCTGCGCTTCTTTTAGGATTAGCAGTTTGGGGGACACGTAGCCTTAAAGCTGTGCCACAAGGGGGACAAGGCTTGGTAGAATACGTACTTGAGTTTATACGTGACTTGACTCGGACTCAGATTGGTGAAGAAGAATATCGACCTTGGGTACCTTTTATTGGCACTTTATTTTTGTTTATTTTTGTATCAAATTGGTCAGGGGCCCTTGTACCTTGGAAAGTTATTGAATTACCCAATGGAGAGCTTGCCGCTCCCACAAACGATATTAATACTACTGTGGCTCTTGCATTACTAACTTCTGTGGCTTATTTTTATGCTGGTCTTCATAAAAGAGGTCTAAGCTATTTTGGTAAGTACGTTCAGCCTACCCCTGTGTTATTACCAATTAATATTCTTGAAGATTTTACTAAACCTCTGTCGTTAAGTTTCCGACTTTTTGGAAACATTCTAGCTGACGAACTTGTCGTTGCTGTACTTGTTTCATTAGTCCCTCTTGTAGTACCTATTCCAATGATGTTTCTAGGCCTTTTTACTAGTGGCATTCAAGCTCTTATTTTCGCCACACTCGCTGCTGCTTATATCGGAGAATCAATGGAAGGACATCACTAAAGGATAGGACCACTCTTCAAATAAAAAAAATGCTTTAAAGAGGGAACGGGGCACTAGTCCCAGTGCCCCGAGCCCTTGGGATATACTTGTGCTTTTTTTATAGGTTGCCCTTTCGTGTCGCCAAAACAGCAATAACTAAGGGGCCTGATAAAACAATTAATGCAAGAACAACCAATTGAGCGATGACTTCAAAATTTATCATGATTTGCTACACTCCTCTTGCAACAGGTAAAATCTATGGGGTCGAATTGTAAGGACATTTGCTAGTATACCTATGCACCTATTCTTAGCAAGATAATTATAATAAAAGCGGGTCAAATATTATTACACAGTTTGTACATATATAAGACCTATTTTTTCTCTACATAGATAAGTAATATAGGCCAACGCTTTAGCAAAAACTTATGCTCTCTGAATTACAAATTTTTGGTGCACTTCTTGCGGCATTGCCTGTTGGAGCCTTAGCACTCGCTTTAGGTAAAGCGCTATACCGCTAAACAACAAATTTGCCACCAGCCCCAAAAAGCCCCCCAATTGTGGTATAGTGGGGCTGGGAGGCTGAGGAGAGGTGGCTGAGTGGCCGATAGCGATAGATTGCTAATCTGTTGTACGCCCTAGGTGTACCGAGGGTTCGAATCCCTCCCTCTCCATTTTTTGAAAGAGTTGTATATTACTCCTTTCGTCCTGGGTTCCGACCTGGATCGTTTGAAAGGAAACCAAAGACAAACAAAGAGATAAAAAACATAACCACAGTGTATACAAAAAGTTTTAGAGTAAGCATGGGCCTTCTTTTTTGTCATATATGGTGAGAGCCGTGGAATCCACGTCGTATGGGAGCCAGACTCCTCCGCCAGCGCTATTCTACACTATAGCGTATTCTCAAAAAAAAGTTTTCACTGTTCTTTCTCAAGAAAAATTCACGTAAGCACTGGAGAAAGAGGGATTCGAACCCCCGTTAGTAAAACTAAAACGATTTTCGAAACCGTCGCAATTGACCACTCTGCCATTTCTCCTATGTATTTTTATGGGCCTGCAACCAATGGCAGGCCCCGCTATCCCGCCTAGCTAGCGGAAGCTAACAGAGGCTTGCCACACAAAAGCTAGCAACAAGAAAAGAACAGGAATGACTGGTAAAACATCTACAATAGGATCAAAAATAGCATAGGCTTCTGGTAGCTTGCCTAGAAAGAGAATTGCTTCTCCAGTTGGGCGGGCCAAGATGCTACAGAAGATTGAAATAAGAGTTGGCATGAGGCATCCTCCAAGTCTAGGATCAGCTCCTGGTGAGAGCTATTGAGTTCTACTGTATTCAAATAAGCTAAGAGTTTCTCACCAGTGGCTTCTTTATGGTACACCAGCCTACCCTAAGTAGAAAAGCAATCTTATGTTTAACGATGCTTACTTGACAGAGTCTAACCCTTAAGGTAGCATATAAATACTCAAAACCTAGTACATCTGATAGCTTTAACATTTTGTTTAAAAACATGGGGCGTGGCCAAGTGGCAAGGCAGCGGGTTTTGGCTCCGCTATTCGGAGGTTCGAGTCCTTCCGCCCCAGGCTCATACTCTTAGTCTGAGCGTTAGGCTTGTTGATCTTTGTAAAATATATAGATATAATTCAGTTTTGAAATTTTTAGAAGAAAACTTTTAGAAGAGTTGATTGACTGTCCGATTCAATTGTTTTTTAGTATCATAAGTTCATTGGATCTGCTAACATTAACCGATGAGAGGTCGAAGTTTGTTTCAATAAAAAAGCAAGTTTGACTATAAAATATAGGAAGTTCCTTTTTTTATTTATATAGATTTTAGGATAAACTTGAGAGCTTCATTAACTTTTGTTTTATAAAGTATAGGGTTTTTTCTTTTCTGGGAATTGAATTTTAGTTTTGGAATAAAATTTTTTTAAAGTGTTTAGATTTTTTTTAATAAAAAAGTTTGTTTTCAGGTCTTATTCATTGGAATATTACTTTCGTTTAGGTTTGTTTCGCTTTTGTAGCAAACAAAGTTTATATTCCTCTTCATTTGGAGCCTTATGAGGTTAATTTCTCACGTTAGGTTCTTAAGCTACTTAGGTCACAGTTCAAAAAACGGCCAAGTTTCTATCACAACTACGCCTAAAAAACCAAATTCTGCCCTCCGTAAGGTGGCAAGAGTTCGCTTAAGTTCAAAATTTGAAGTCACTGCATATATACCAGGAATTGCACACACTCTGCAAGAACATTCGGTAGTGCTAGTCAGAGGAGGGCGAGTAAAAGATCTTCCTGGAGTGCGATATCACATCGTTCGTGGCGCTCTTGACACTGCTGCAGTAAGAGATCGCCAGAGAGCCCGCTCGAAATATGGGGTTAAGCGACCTAAGTAAAAAACCACTAAGCTTGATCTATTCAACTAACGTACCCAATAACAGACTATGGCCCTTCTCTAACTCAAGCAAGGGCTCTTGTAAAATAAGGATTGTATATGTCTCGTCGCAAGCGTGCTGCTAAGCGTCCACTAAGGCAAGAAATTGTGTATCGAAGTCGATTGGCTTCTATGATTGTAAGCCGTATTCTTAAGAATGGAAAAAAATCTTTAGCTTCACGTCTTTTCTATCAAGCAATGGGAAAGGTTAGGGTAAAGGTTAAAAAAGATCCCTTGTCAATACTCAATCAAGCTGTTTTGCATACAACTCCCCGAGTTGTATTGAAAGCTCGCCGCATTGGAGGATCAACTTACCAAGTCCCTTTGCAAGTCAATCCGGAGAGAGGCCATGCTCTTGCGATTCGATGGCTATTAAATGCTTCTCGCAAGCGTCCAGGACGGGACATGGGTTCCAAGTTAGCGAATGAAATTTTAGATGCTTCAAAACGAATTGGAAATGCAATTCGCAAAAGAGAGGAAGTTCACAGGATGGCAGAAGCAAATAAAGCGTATGCCCATTTACGTTTTTAAGTTGCTAGGACAAAATAGGGCTTGACTCAATCTTAAGCGAAGGAAGGAGAATTCCATGCTACAGTTTGCCCCGATTGTGCCTGAAGCAATCTTAACAATTTCGTTAATATGTGTCTGTTTTGCTGACCTTTTTCAAACAAAGAAAGTTTTTTATAAAAAAGGATGGGAGACAATTTGGATTGCTGCTTTAGGCCTTTTATTATCAATCATTGCTCTTGTGTGGCGATTGCCTCAGCCTCCGAGTTTAATACTTGGAGGGGCTTTTGCTGAAGATAGTTTGGGAATTGCTTTTCGTCTCATAATTGCAATGGGTTCTTTCATATGTATTTTCTTATGCTTAGATTATTTTCAAATGGGAGGTACACCTGCCGCAGAATTCACAATTTTTGTGTTGGCCTCAACTATAGGCGGTATGCTTTTATCAGGATCAAATGATCTTGTACTTGCTTTTGTAGCATTTGAATGTTTAAGTTTAAATTCTTACTTACTCGCAGGGTACACGAGAAAAGACCTTCGCTCACAAGAATCGGCTGCAAAATATTTAATTCTTGGAAGTGCGAGTTCGTGTGCTCTTGCTTATGGATTTTCATGGCTTTATGGGCTTGGAGGAGGAAGCACAAGTTTTCAAGAGATAGGCTTTGCTTTGAACCAATATCCGTCAGTTCCTTTTGCGACTTGGATTGCTTTTTTACTCGTGTTTTTTGGAATAGGTTTCAAATTATCTGCAGCTCCTTTTCATCAATGGGCACCTGATGTATACGAAGGATCTCCTACCCCTAGTGCTGCTTTCTTATCTGTAAGCTCAAAGGCTGCAGGCCTAGCTATTGCAGCAAGACTTTTATGGGTTGTGTTTTCGTCTTTACAACCTCAGGCAGGGCAAATAGTGCAATTACTAGCTATACTTAGCATGTTAGTAGGCAATCTTATAGCTGCATCCCAATCCCATATGAAAAGGATGCTTGCATATTCTTCTATTGGCCAAATTGGATATTTGTTACTTGCTTTGTCTCTTGAGCATGGTCAAGGACAAAGCAGTTTGATGCTTTATCTTGGCACTTACGTTTTTATGAATATGGGTGCCTTTGCTTGTACAATTTTACTTAGTTTACAAATAGGCACTGACTCAATTCGAAGTTATGCAGGTCTTTTTCAAACAAAACCGTGGATTTGTGGTTGTTTAAGCCTTTGCCTTCTCTCTCTGGCAGGTTTACCCCCTTTAGTTGGATTTTTTGGCAAAACCTATCTTTTTTGGGCTGCATGGCAAGGACAACTTTATATTCCTACAATAATAGGAGTGTTCACTAGCGCTTTATCTCTTTATTATTATCTTCGCGTAATACGAATTATGTTTACAAGAGAAGCTAAAGGGACCTTAAGTTGGCAACAAATTGCTCTACCTGCACACAAAGAAATAAGTTTTTCTTTAGAAAAAAAAGACACACCACCCTTGCTAACTCTGACTCTTGTGTTGTGTGCGAGTACTGTTAGTCTTTTTAGTTTCGTAATTGGTCCACTCACAAGTATTGTTAACGACTTATCATTCTTTTATAATGACGGGTTCTAAAAAAACGTTATCATATGAATAGTAAAAAAATTTGTTTTTTTGAGAGAATGTTTGAAAAATTGTGATTTTTTAAACGATACAGAAAAATTTAAGCTAAAAGATTAAGTTTTGCTCATGAGCTGGAAATGAGGCAAAGTTGAGATGGTAAAGCTTTGTTTTGCTTTCCATTTCTACTCTGTTTCCAGCTCTTTGTTTTCATTTCCAATTGTTTAAAAAAATGTCTAACTTAAAAACAATAATAGTTAAAGACGATTAAAAAAAAATAAAAATTACTAATGCGCAATTGTACAATAGCTTAGTTTTTTATTAATGAAAATATTTTATTAGTTTTGATTTGAAAAGATTATTTTTGTTTTAAAATACGTAAAAGATTTTGTATTTGAATTTGCCGCTGGCCGGACTCGAACCGGCACGGATGTTCTCCTCAGGCCCCTCATGCCTGCGTGTCTACCAAGTTCCACCACAGCGGCGGTTTTTAAGAATCAAATAAGTTCAATTTCAATTTATATGAAAATATCTTTATAAATCTGTTCGGGGGACGTAGCCCCCGTCGTTTTAAAAAATGAAACTTTTCAATTTACTTTGGTTATCCTTCCTGGCTTGCAGTTTGAACATATAAAATCAAAAGAAAAGCAGTAGGAATAAGTATAAACAGTGCAGTAGCAATGAAAGCCAAGATATTCACTTCCATGGTTCAATGGCTCCGATAGTGATAAAGTGGGCCTGCCCAATGAGGCCTCTTTAAGAAGCAAGCTCTTACATAAGCTTGTGGCTCATTTGAAATGAGGAGCTTTGGACCCAGGCCTGCTCCTATGCAGAGAAGCAGGGGGCATTCTATCACATCTTATACTTGAAACTTCCTATTGTAATCTGTCAAAATCTATTTCATTTGTATTAATGCATATGCTTTATTTTGCCTTGGAGAGGAATCGAACCTCCACGCCTGAGGCACCAGATTTTGAGTCTAGCGTGTCTACCATTTCACCACCAAGGCAATCATATCAATATCATAACGCTATTATTATTATCCTTACTTGTTACTAAACAATTTTATGATTAACCTAGATTTCAATGCAAGCACCTTTTTAGGTGTATGTCTTGTTGGAAGCAGCATTGGTCTTTATACTATCCGCAAGGTAAGCCCAGAATTGTCTCGTGATTCTGATGTAATTCTTTCTACTGTTGGAATTGCGGCAGGTAGTATTCTCACTTTTCAAGGGTGGAGGCTTGATCCAATCTTACTGTTTTGTCAAACGTGTTCGATAGGAATTGCTCTTTTTTTTGTTTGGGAGAGTATACGTTTACGTCATAGTAGTCATTATTTCAAAAAAAATCAAATAAACGAACTCAATATTCAAAAAAACAATTCTATTTTATGTCAAGGCTGGAGGTTACCCTCCAAGCCTAAAGATCGAAAAAAAACAAAAAAGAATTATATGTTTATTCAAATCCAAAAAAAACTTTTACAAACCACTTCTTCCCCATACAACCAATGATAAAGAAAAGGTAAATACAACCATCAAAGAGGCCCAGCTTAGGCTTACTATATCCATTACTTTATATCCTTATGTTAAGTATTTTCAAAGGGCAATTCACTAACCTTTACTAAATCTTTTTAAGTTGAAACAAACCATTTCTATTTTACAAGCCTGGCAAGCTAACAACAAGCAAGTAGGTACAAGTTAAAAGGGGAGTATACGGCAAAAACTTTATCCTTTTGGATTGAAAAAAGAAAAGGTTAAGATAATATTGGGGCTTAGCAAGCTTTGAAACCAACTAAAGCGCGCACCGTGCGAGAACAAATGGTGGCAGCACAGCAAGATCGCTGAAGTAGGAAGCATGGTAGCTAGCCCCACTTGCTCTTTGAATTTTGTAGGCGGCACCCAGATTCGAACTGGGGAATAAAGGATTTGCAATCCATTGCCTTACCACTTGACGATGCCGCCTTTGTTTAAAGAGTATACACGAAAAAGCCGAGTTGAGTTTATAACAGAAAAAAAAATAAGATGAATTATTCAAAAATTGAATATTTAAACTATTAACAAAATAATAAAAATGAATCAGTTTTTGAATTTCTTTTTTATAACATAAGATTTATTTGTTTAATGCACCATGCCTCCTTTTTACTATAATTCTTTTCATGTCACAGTGCCGAACTTGTTGGAAAGCCAACAAACTGGGTTTCAACGTTTTTTATTTGAAGGGATTAGCCGTGAACTTTCTTATTTTTCAACAACAATTGATCATAACCTACCAGCAATAGGCAAAATTCGTATATATATAAAGCATCAAAACTGGGCTTTGGAAAAACCGTCTCATGGCGAGCTTTGGTGTAAAAAAAACCGTCATACTTATGGTGCATGGTTATCTGTGCCCGTTGTACTCGAGCATGACCTAGGGCATAAAAAAAGAAGTCGTATACGCTTAGGCAAAATTCCAATCATGGATAGCAAAGGAGGCTTTCTAATCAATGGGGTACCCCGAGCAGTGATTCATCAGGTATTGCGAGCTCCAGGGATTTATTTCCAGAGCAGATGGGTAGGAAATAAAAAGAAAAAGAAAAAGCGAAAAAGATGTTATTCGGCTACCTTAATCTCTGAATCTGGCACCTGGTTACGAATTGAAAAAGATCCAAAAGGACGATTTTGGTTATGGGTAAAAAGAAATAAAAAAGTTAGTATTCTTCTTTTATTAGGATTAATGGGATATGAGTGCATAGACGATACTCAGGCATGTCTGTTCCCCTCTTTCATTGGCGTTGAAGAACCGAATTTTTTGTTACCTTCATTACGATGGTGGCAAGAAGATGATGACTTAGGAGATCATCTTCCTACAATTAAATGGTGTGCAATCCATTTGTACGATGCAGTATTTAGAGGTCCTTTCCGGAGAGATTTAAATCTGTATACGTTAACCAAAACAAACAAAAGCGCCTCTTTACGACCAGGTCCTCCACTTTATGAAGAAATGTGTGAGGAAGGAATGATTCAAAACGAACTGATTGAAAAAAGATTCTATTTAGGAAGGCTAGGAAGATTCAATTTAGAACGCCGGCTTGGATTACCAAATTTTTGGAATTGTTTTTTATCTATAACACAATCTCAAATAGTTCATCCTCTTCTCAATAATTTAATTGAGATAGAGCATGATCCTGTCCTTTACTTTGGTTATAAAGATCTTTTGCGCGTGATGCATCGTCTTGCACTGTTTACTCATGGCGATGAGTATGAAGACGATATTGATCATTTAAAAAATAAACGTGTGCTCTCTGTTGGGGAGCTTATGCAACAAGAATTACATCGGGGAATGAAAGAGCTTATTACATATGCAGCGGATACTGAAGAATGGTGGAAACGACCCCGAAAGAAAAGATACAAAAAGTATGAGCTTGCCTTGGGATGGTGGGATCTTACAGTGCAAGATTTCTTTCCTGGAACCCACGTGAGTGAAGGGTTTAAGCGCTTTTTTGTTTCTCATCCTTTGAGCCAATTTATGGATCAAACAAATGGTCTGGCGCATCTCGCTCAAAAGCGTCGTATGAGTTGTCTTGGACCTGGAGGTTTAACCCGACAGACCGCCTCTTTCCGAATTCGAGATATCCATCCAAGCCAATATGGGCGTGTTTGTCCAATTGAGACTCCTGAAGGCACTAGCGCAGGCCTTGTATCTTCTCTCGCAAGTCATGCAAAAATAAGTCGGTATGGCTCTTTATGTAGTCCTCTTCGTCCTATATCTCCCAAAGCAAATCTAGCATCCTTTCGATACGTATCTTCCCAATACGAAGAAAAATACTGGATTTCCACAGGTGATCGAATGCAGGTGGATGAAGGAACCATTGTACCTGCTCGTTATCAACAAGAATTTGTTACGACAGAATGGGATCAGGTCAGCCTTATTGATGTTTTTCCTATGCAATATTTTTCCGTGGCTTCGTCATTAATTCCTTTTTTAGAACACGATGATGCAAACCGAGCTCTTATGGGTGCAAATATGCAAAGGCAAGCTCTTCCTCTCTTATCTTTAGAGAGAGCAATAGTAGGTACGGGTATGGAATGGCAAGTTGGTTTTGAATCTGGCACATTATTAAGAGCAAGAGAGCCATGTCGTGTGGGTTATGTAGATGCTATGAAAATAGCAACGCAAGGCCGACTAAAAGTTGGGATGAATAATTCTCTCATTCGTTTTAATCAACTATCAACCTATCAACGTTCTAATCAAAATACTTGTTTCCATCAAAAACCGTTTGTAAGCTTAGGAGAATATGTCGAGGCTGGCGAAACAATAGCGGATGGTCCAAACACTGTAGGTGGGCAGCTTGCATTAGGTAAAAATGTACTAGTAGCATATACGCCTTGGGAAGGATATAACTTTGAAGATGCCGTTCTAATAAGTGAACGAATGGTTTATGACCATGTTTATACGTCATTACAAATAGAGAAACATCAGATAACTATTTGTGAGACCGAAGCTGGGCCTGAGCTTGTTACTCGCGAAGTACCTCATTTAAGAGAGCAGTTCTTACGCCATTTAGATCCCCAAGGAATTGTACGAGTTGGCTCGTGGGTTGAGGTTGGAGACGTGCTTGTGGGTCGGCTTGTGCCTAGAGGTCAAGGGTACGAAGTTACGCCTCAAGAAAGGTTGCTTGCTGCCATTTTTGGAGAACGAGTAGTGACAATGGACGAGAAGTGCTTAAGAGTTCCTTTAAGAGGTCGTGGAAGAGTAATCGATGCTCACTGGGTACATCGTGAGGACACAAGTTTTGGACGTATAAAATCGATTTATGTGCACATCCTTCAACGTCGAACAATTCAAGTTGGGGACAAAGTGGCAGGGCGGCATGGAAACAAAGGAATTGTTTCTAAAATTCTTCCTCGCGAAGATATGCCTCATTTGCAAGATGGAACCCCTCTCGACATGGCTCTGAGCCCCCTTGGAGTACCGTCTCGTATGAATGTAGGACAACTATTTGAATGCCTCTTGGGCCTTGCTGGAAGTTTTCTTGGAAGACACTATCGAATTATGCCTTTTGATGAAAGATGTGAACAAGAAGCGTCTAGAAAACTCGTTCTATCTCAACTCTGGGAAGCACGTACGTATACTTCTCATCGATGGGTTTTTGAAGCAGACTCTTTGGGAAAAAGTTATCTTTTGGATGGTAGGACTGGAGATGTATTGAAACAACCTGCTACTGTAGGAAAGGCTTATATGTTAAAACTTGTTCACCAAGTAGATGATAAAATTCATGCTAGATCAACAGGTCCTTACTCAAAAGTAACTCAGCAACCATTGCGGGGTCGATCTAAGCGAGGAGGACAACGAATTGGTGAGATGGAGGCTTGGGCTTTAGAAGGATTTGGTGCCGCTAATACGCTTCAAGAAATGTTTACCCTCAAATCAGATGATATGCTTGGTCGTAACAAACTTCTTAATACAATAATAGAGGGTCGTCCAATCCCTTCTTCTCCTTCTGATTTACCCGAAGCTTGCCGATTATTACTTTGGGAGTTGCGTGCTCTTTGTGTTCGAACACAAATTCTACATACTACTCTTTTTTCTTCAATCGCACCTTCATAAGCACTTGTAATTTTCATTATTGTTGAAATTTTTTCAAATAAAAAAAGGGCTTATATTATTTTGTAAGGCTATTTCATAATAATGATGACAATGGTTTGCATTGTTAGTAAGATAACGATTGTTATCTTTCTTTTTTTGAAAACAAAAGAAAACAAAAAACTTATGACTATAAAAGATAGGCCAACAGCCATATTTGTGGAGGTCGGGCTGGCACCTCCTGAAATAGTAAAGGCTTGGTGTGAGAGGGTTTTACCTACAGGAGAACGAATCGGTGAGGTCACAAACTCTGAAACAATTCATTATCGAACTCATCAACCGATCCCAGATGGCTTATTCTGCCAGCGTATTTTTGGTCCGATAAAGAGTTATCAATGTTTGTGCCGTTTATCTCCAGGGGCACGACAAAGCCAAAGTTTAATCGAAGGTTCGAAAGGAGAACGCTACTGTTCTTTTTGTGAAGTCGAGATCACCCGATCGAGTGTGCGACGATATCGTATGGGACATATTAAACTTGCTACCGCCTTGGTACATCCTTGGTTTATGCAAGAAAACCCATGTCATATAGCTTTAGCTCTGAACATGAAACACAAGTTGATTATAAGTTTGGCTTATTTTTCGCTTGCTGTCTCTTATGTTGATCCTCGATCTCTTCAATGTTTAGCTTTAAAACGGCGAGCTCTTTTTACTCCTAGACAAATGACTATTCTTTTTTTATACATGGGACGAGACGCTTCTTCTCATCTCCGACGTAAAGAGGTAGGTTTTGGTTCAGAAAGTCTTATCGAACGACTTCAAAGTTTAGATTTAAAGCAAGTTATTCGACAAGGAGTGTCTTTATGGCAATTGGCATATGACGAATTTGTCGTTTACACCAAAAAACCCGAATTAATAAAGAAAAAAAAAAGTACGGCTTTGCTCAAAAAAGGAGCACATCGTAAGCGCCAATTGACTAGACGAGCTATTATGGCAAGAAAAATGATTCTGCATCAAGTCCGACCCGAATGGATGTGCTTTCGCTTGTTGCCAGTGCTCCCTCCTGATCTACGCCCACTGATTAAAATTGAAGGAGAACTATTTGTTTCTTCAGATTTGAATGAGCTGTATCGTAAAGTTTTATACCGTAATAAGATGTTGCATCATTTTCATTTCTTACACAAAAATTTTGGCAATGTTCCTGAATTGGTTGAGCATCATTCGGCTCGTATGCTTCAAGAAGCAGTTGATGTACTCATTAAAAAAGGTGTAGAAGGAAAGCCCTATCCTATAAACTCAAAACCTTTACGTTCTTTTAGTCAAGTCTTGCAAGGGAAAATGGGCCGATTTCGGCAAAATCTGCTCGGCAAACGGGTTGACTACTCAGCTCGTTCAGTGATTGTGGTTGGGCCCGAGCTTGCGATGCATCAATGTGGAATGCCTATTGAGATAGGACTCGATTTATTTCAACCTTTTCTTGTGAGAAAACTTATTCAAGTTGAACTTGCAACCAATATGCGACATGCTCAGCGTCTTATTGATGAGGGCCATTCTTTAGTCATGGAACTTTTACGTCAAACAGTTCAAGATCATACCGTGCTTTTGAATCGAGCTCCCACTCTTCATCGCCTTGGAATTCAAGCTTTTCAACCTATGCTTGTATCAGGTCGAGCCATTCAACTCCATCCCCTTGTGTGCGCAGGTTTCAATGCAGATTTTGATGGAGACCAAATGGCATTGCATGTTCCTCTTTCTATGGCTGCTCAGGCAGAGGCGCGTTTTCTTATGCTCTCGTCTTTTAATCTTCTTTCTCCTGCCCAAGGAGAAGCCGTTGCTGTGCCTAGTCAAGACATGCTTCTTGGTTTGTATAGTATGACACATGAACCTATGCCTTATTTCAGTAATGAGGAGGTTTTTTGGGGGAAAAATAAAGGCTCAATACTTTATTCATTCCCTTGTTTTTTAAACGGATGGGGAGTAATTGAAGCTTATCAACAAGGGTTTATTAGTTTACATTCGAATGTGTGGATCCAATTAGATACAATTTCTTTTCCATTAGATGGAACTCGTAATGAAAAAGATGAACAAGAGGCTAAAGAAGTTCACTGGGGGGCACAAGGAGCAGAAGTGAGAATTTATCCAAGGGGTTTATCGCAAAAAGGCTTATGGAGCAAATGCGCTAATTACATCTTAACAAATGCTGGTCGAGTTTTTGTTGGTCTTCCTCCTCATCGGCGTTTTTTTCATAGTTGATAAATTTTTGTCCTTTATTGAGTACTAAAAACTTTTTTTATTTCGATATATCAATTTATTTAGGAGTTTAGTGATGGAAAATCAGATCATTCAACTTAAAAAACGGAATAAGTATTACAATGAACGAATTGTAATAAATCAAGGAATAGACAAGAGCTCACTGAAAGCTTTAATTGCAAACCTTACATTGGAAGAAAGTGGAACCCAACCTGTTGCAGAGAGACTTGATCGACTCAAATGGCTTGGCTTTCATCATGCTACCCAATTTGGTACTTCTTTAAGCATTGAAGATCTTTGGATGCCGTATGCAAAAGAGTGGCTGATTCAAGATGCAGAATATGAAGAAAAAAATTCAGAAAACAGTTTAGAAAAGGCTGATATGGACGCCGTAGAACGCCTTCGTGCCCTTATTGATACGTGGTCACGAACTGGAGAATCTCTTAAAAAAGAGATGATACTAACTTTCCAGAGTCTTGATCCCTTTAATCCAATTTTTATGATGGCCTTCTCTGGAGCTAGGGGCAACTGGTCACAGGTACATCAGTTGTTAGGTATGCGTGGTCTAATGTCTGACCCACAAGGTCAGATCATCGATCTTCCTATTCGAAGCAACTTTCGGGAAGGTCTTTCAGTTACCGAGTACATTATTTCTTGTTATGGTGCAAGAAAAGGCGTTGTAGATACTGCCGTTCGAACTGCAACCTCAGGCTACTTAACGCGCCGCCTTGTCGATGTAGCGCAACATGTAATCGTTCGTTCTTCCGATTGTCATACTTCTTCTGGGTTTTGGATCCAAGCTTTGCGAGAAACAAAGCAACGAAAAACAGGCTATCACTCATTTCGTCGCACATACCTCACTCTAAGTCACAGGCTTGTTGGGCGTGTTCTTGCTCAAGACATTCGTTTTGATTCCAAACTTTTAGCCGGATGCGGAGATGATATAGGAAATAACTTGGCAAATTTTCTAAGTTCTATATTTTCTCAAAAGATTCAATTGCGCTCTCCTTTTACATGCGCTCAGGCTCGTTCTATATGTCAATGTTGTTATGGCTGGAATCTTGCACAAGGCAATCTTGTTACTATTGGAGAAGCCGTAGGGATTGTGGCTGCTCAATCGATTGGGGAACCGGGAACTCAACTTACTATGCGAACTTTTCACACAGGAGGAGTTTTTAGTGGAGAAGTCGCAGAGCAGGTACGCGCACCTTTTAATGGTTTTGTTTATTTTGATCCCGCCCGAGCAAAACGTGTACATCGCTTTGGCGGTGATGAGAATCGCCAAGCATGGCTTACTCAAGAACCTCTTGAAATTCTTGTCCTTGGTACTCAAGCGCTTGCATTGCAAGTGCCTTCTCTTACTTTAATATCCCTTCAACCAGGACAAGCTGTGCTTTCTCGGCAGGTGATTGCAGAAATTCGATCTTCTCTTCTTACTTTTACTGAAACTGCAAATAAAGTCATTCATGCAGATCTTAATGGTCAAGTTTTTCTTCAAAAAGGTAATCGTCTTGAAGCCATTCATAACGATTCGCTTTTTGAGAAAGAAAAAAATGATTCTCGTCTTCCTAGAGAACGGATGACTTCGTTGCGACAAGAGGTTCGTGCCTGGGTGATGTCAGCTCAGGAATTACGTTTTTTCAAGCAGCTTCAAACGTTTGATTTATATAAATTGAACGATATGATTCAAGCTGGAGCGATTCTACAAAATAAAATTCTTTCTTTTTCTAAGCCTCCAGGAACTCTATCGTTTGAATTTGCTACAAGTATAGCAACTTTTAAATGCTCCGATACTGTGTTTTCAAATCATTTTCCTTTTATAGAGCGATGGGGTAGCCTTTGTTTATTTTCGAATGGGTCAAAAAAAGAATCAATCTCAAAAAAAAAATCAGGCCTTTTGTCTTCATTTTTGTCAATCCGTACAAAAAAGAACATTCGCTTTACTCGATCTAAATGGAATTGTCTTGATTTGCTCTCTTATAAAAATGATAAAACAATAGTTCGATGGCCACCAGACTTAGTACGCGCAAAATTTCAAATGAGAGAAATAGGCTCTTCTTATTCTGCAACCTCGTTGCGCTCTTGCCCTGTGTTTCCTCAAGATGAAAGAAAACGTCATGGTCATGTGTTTCTTTCACAAACTTTTTTTACTAAGAATACAGGTAGTTTTTTGCAAAAAGTTGGCGTTTATGATCAACATTGGGCACAATTACTTTTCCGTAACGAGGATTATGTCGGGTTATATCCGTGGAATAGAGGAATCAATTTGGAAAAAGGTTTGTCCCCTTGGGCTCATGGTACTTTTATACAATCAGTTGATACTGCTAATATATGGTTTCCTAGGCAGACCAAAGGCCTTTTATATAAACTAGGATATAACAATACGGAAGGTTCTCTCTTAATAGACAATTTGGGGAATTGGCGCTTGGACGGCAATTGGAACGTTTATTTGTTGAAACCAATTTGGGTACCATCGATTGGATTACAAGCTTTATATAGTCAGTTAGGGGCATGGATTTTGCCAAGAAAGTTACCTTTGTATTATTCGAATAAGGTCAAAACATTTTCTGGTCATGTAACAAAAATGTATGCGAACTATTTAATACTTCGACATGGTATTCCTTATCTTGCTAACCCCGGCACAGTCCTTTTTCAGGGCCCTGGTAGTCCGATTTGTCAAGGAGAACCTTTGATTGGTCTTGTATATACTCGTCCTAAAACCGCCGATATTGTCCAAGGCTTACCTAAAGTAGAACGTTTACTTGAAGCTCGGATATCTCACCCTCTTGTACATTATGCTAAAGAACTCTTTTATAGACTTTTTCAAGCAAATTATCAAAGATGCTTTCAAAAGGATAAAGATCCTAAGTCTCTTGTATATACAGAGGCAAACATTGAAAAAGCACAAGCTTTTCTTTTAGATGCAGTCCAAGAGGTCTATCAATCTCAAAAGGTAGGGATTTCAGACCGTCATTTGGAGCTTATTGTTCGACAGATGACTTCATTAGTGATAGTGAATGGAAATAGAGAGATTAGAAATCAGCCAGGAGATATTGCTCGTCATAGGCAAACTTTTTCTTATAGCAAAATTTTAACTTCTCCTGTACCAACTCATCCATTGATCTTAGGGATTACCAGAGCAGCTTTAACTACTGAGAGTTTTCTTTCGGAAGCCGGCTTTCAAGAAACAAGCCGCGTACTTGCTCGCTCAGCTAGCCGGGGAAGGATTGATTGGCTTAGGGGTATCAAAGGAAGAGTTATGATTGGAGAATTAATTCCTGCAGGGACTGGTGTTTTATCTATAAGCCCTCTTTTTTTATCTCCGACTGCTTTAAAAAATAAAAAACAGCTTTGGTACGATTCAAATCAATCATTATTCAATTCAAAAGACTCTATCTTGGATTTAGTATTAAGCATTCAAAAAACAATTCCGGAATCATAATTATAAAACCAAAGCCGAGGGTCCATAAAATATTCGGTAAAAATTTCCACTGAAAAAAGAAACCCGTTTTCAATCTTTTCGCTTTTGAATTCTTTTTAAGAATTCAGTTTTTTTATTTACATTCAATGAATCTTCATTAGGGCTACTGTTGATCTATAAAAGTGCCCACGATTGATGTGGGCCTTTTTATCCCTTTGGTGAAAAAACTCTAGATTACTTGCTCTTGACGTGAGCCCAGAGTAATATTCATTGTTGTTCAAAAAGATAACTTTTTTCAATATCTGCTTATAGTTCTTTGTGAGCGCTCATCGTTCAAAGGATAGGACAGTGGCCTTCTAAGCCTCTGATATAGGTTCGAATCCTATTGGGCGTAAAGGAGAGAGAGGGATTCGAACCCTCGGCAGCTAAAGGCTGCACCGGTTTTCAAAACCGGAACAATCGTCCACTCTGTCATCTCTCCCTGTTCTATAGGATAGCTTGCATGTTCGTTCATTGGGCTTTTGCTTGAGACAAATACTATACAAGGAGTTGCGATCATGTAAATGATTTGAGGAAGATGGGGTTGTAAGCAAACCTTATGGGCATCTAGCAGATCGTTTGCTGAGAGGCAAGAGGTGACAGCTGCTAGTAAAGCTTTAATAAACCAAGAGGGTTTTCCTTCTAAGCTTCTATTTGCTTGTGCTTCAAGGCAATCCATGAAATAAGCGTAAGTTTTTTATTAAAAATGTAAATGTGTTTAGTCTTATTTCTCTCTTTGAAAGAAGACCATCTCGAGCAGCATTACGTGTAATGGGTTAGCTTGCTGAGCTTTTAACCTCTTTCAATCAAAAAAACATGTACCCAAGCCGAGAAGGCTTAGAGGAGGACAGGAACAGGTATGTTTTCTAGTTGGTCCATTCATGCAGATAAAGAAGATAGATCAGTGAATCTGTTGAAACGAGCCGGATGAAACGCAAAATTCATGTCCGGTTCTTCAAAAAGGAAAATCAAAAGGTTTTCCTATTCCTGCAAGCAATATGATCCTTCCTTTTCAACTATCTCTTTTTGCTTTGGTTGCCATCTCTTTTTTGTTAGTCATTGGGGTCCCAGTAATCTTGGCTTCGCCTAATGGATGGTCTAGTTCTAAGAATCTTGTGTTCTCAGGCACCTCCTTATGGATTGGCCTTGTCTTTTTGGTGGGTCTTTTGAGCTCTTTTACTGGATAAAGGAGTAATAAAACTTTTTTTGCTTATTAAGTAAGATAATTTTTAATGCACGCTCTGTAGGACTCGAACCTACGACATCAGGTTTTGGAGACCTGCGTTCTACCAACTGAACTAAGAGCGCTCAATTCCTTTAGGGCTGACAGGATTCGAACCTGCGACATTTTGTACCCAAAACAAACGCGCTACCAGGCTGCGCTACAGCCCTTGTACTTTCTATTGTACATCATATGGACGTGGCAGACGAAGTACAATAGCTAATCTTTTCTATTTTACTTTTTGAAAGAGTAATCTTTCTATTCAATTTTTTTGATTTAAGGAGCACTGCTATGCAAGACTTAAAAACTTATCTTTCTACTGCTCCTGTACTAGCCACCTTATGGTTTGGCTTGCTTGCCGGTTTGCTAATTGAAATCAATCGCTTTTATCCCGATGCTCTAGTACTTCCTTTCTTGTAGTGTAGTATCGTCATTTCAATATTTTCAATTGTTTAGGGTCCCTGATTTCTTTAGGGTCCCTAGGCCATTGAGCTTTTTCTTCTCCTCCCTACCCTACAGACGAATCTTATATGGCAAAAGCCAAAGGCGCAAGAGTTACCGTAACGCTCGAATGTACTTTGTGTAATGAAAATCGTTCAAAACGGTCGGCTGGAATTTCACGCTATACGACTCAAAAGAATCGTCGTAGTAATCCAGGTCGTCTTGAATTAAAAAAATTCTGCACTCATTGTAACGAGCATACCCCTCACAGAGAGATAAAAAAATAAATAAAAAGGTTGAACATGAAAAGAGAGAGAGAGCTCCGTCCTGCACGGGCATCTCGTCGCCGCTTCCCCCCAGTGAAGTCTGCTGAACAAATTGATTATAAAAATACTGATTTGTTGAGACGTTTTGTAAGCGAACAAGGAAAACTTTTTCCTCGAAGAATGAATCGTCTCACTTCCAAGCAGCAGCGTGCAATGACCTGTGCGATCAAGCGAGGCCGTCTGCTTGGATTATTGCCTTTTCTTAATCGCAAGGATTAGCTTTCGACTAAAAGAGAAGGAGTTTGTAGCGTGAAGCTAAGGAGAGCCGAAAAAGCTTCAGGATCACAGACCCCCATTTGGGCCAAAGATCGGCGGTCTAGGGCAATTCCCATTTTCCGCAGCCTGTGAATTGCAAGGCTGTAACGGTATCCTTCGTGCGCCATCGCAGCATTGAGGCGCACGATCCAGAGACGGCGCAAGTCTCGCTTGCGCCTCCCTTGGTCTCGGTGAGAATATTCTAGTGCTTTTGTTGCTCGTTGACTAGCAGTTCGAAAAAGGGTTGATTGAGAGCCTCTGAAGCTTTTAGTCAGGGCAAGAGTTCTATTTCTACGCCGTTTTGCTACGTAGCCTCGTTTGATTCGAGTCATAAGTAGGTTTATTTTATTAAGATATGGGCTTGAATGCATTCATAAGCCTAGAAGTCAAAGGATTAGGCGAGTTAGCAACAATTATGAATCTCTCTTGACAAGACTTTAATAATATGCCATGATGTTCAATAAAAGTTGAGGGATTGTAGTTCAATTGGTTAGAGCACCGCCCTGTCAAGGCGGATGTTGCGGGTTCGAGCCCCGTCAGTCCCGTACTGATTTGTTGAGACGTTTTGTTTCAATAAGTAATTCCAGTAATGCTTTTTATTGACCTTTGTGTATTTTAAAAAGCTAGATTTCATTCCTTTTTTATTTTTAATTCTATATCATAAGTCTTATAAAATTTTCTATTCAAAAGTTTAAAAAGAATTGAGTAGCTCTCCCGCCCGCCATCCAGGTTTTTTATACGTAAGAATCCCTGCTGATTTACTAAGTTGGAAAAAAGGGTTCATCTGACCAGTTTTTTTGTTTATTTCATTTGATAATTGATTTTTAAAAAGATTAATAGGAAGAGAACCTGGAAGAGATTGGATTATCGAATGGCTAGTACTAGAGTTCCAAATAATTGCAGTAAGTTCTTCTGTTTCCAGTCTTGCAATCGTTTGTCCGCGCTCTAAGTTAGCCGAGTAAGATAATTCAGCGACCCTCCAATTTGACTTTTGGGTCTCTTTTTGTGCCCAAACGGCTCGAGACTGCATTAGAGAGAAAACATTTTGTAAATTTGGCCATATCCATACTATTAACCAGGTTATCAGTTTTTGAATTTCATAAAACGTGGCGTATAAATCACTTTCTGATCGATCTGTCTCATTAAATAATAACCACCGCAGGTCGCTTGTACTATAAGTCAAATCCCATCCTCGATGCATTCCCGTGGTAACAGCATGATAACTTCTCCAAAGAGGTCCACATTCATGAGCGCTCATAAGCATCCCGCTTGTTGCAATTTCTGCTCGTTGTGCTGCTGTTAAAGATAAAGGCTCAGCAGCTAAAGCTGCTGGATCTTCAATGCTTCCTGTATGAGGGTTAGCTCGATCAAAAGTTTTAGATAAAAGTTTCCGAGTTCGCTCTTTCATCCGAATCTTGCGTCTATGCTCTCGGCTTCGTATCCATTCGGGCATAGTCAAAAATTCCATGTGTTCCTTAAGCATAGGCCTTAAGTACTCTGCAACCTTTGGATTTTGTGCAAGGTTTATCCACATTTGATCGACTCTCTTATTGTCAGCCTTCCATTTGTTATCTTTTAATTCTTGCATTTTAATCTCCCAGCTTTTTTGCGGGTTGGAGTCAGTCGGGTCTAAGCCAAATAGTCTGTGATGTATTGGCGATAAGTCATTCATTACATAACTATCTACATACGTGGCGAGCACATGAAGACGACGATACGGAGCTACCCATACTTTGGTGCAGATTGGATCAATTTTTTCTTCTTTATAGATCCATTGAAAAAAAGGCATCCAAGCATGTAAAAAGTGAAGATCATCAAGACTTATATTTTTCGAAAAAGATTCATCTAAATGCCAAACTCGATCGGGTTCTTCTGAAAAAAGTCTTACATTATTATTGCTAGGAAAAGGATTCGCAACAAATTCTCTTAGTTCTAGATCCGTAGGAGCATCCTTTAATGGGCTACCGCCTGACCAGATTAGAAGAGCAGCACCTGATTTTTTATCTTGCACCTCACGCAATTCTGCGACTTCAAGAGGTCGACCGTATTCTTCTGGATTTATTTGTTCTTCTTGTTGAAAAGAATGTGGGCGTGGCATATGAAAAAAATAAAGAATGAGAGGTTCCCAAACATAATTAAGATGCAAGAGTTCTTCATCTTTTACCATAACTTGAAGCGATGGGTGCGGTATCGTAATAGGCCGAAGCTCATCGTAGTACCGCTTTTTTCCTCGCCATCCAAAATATGGATACAAAGATGCTGTATGAACAAATGGCTCTTTTCCTCCTAGCGGATCTTCTTCATCAAGTCCTGGAAAGCGGAATAAAAGAAGTGGTAACGATTTGTAAAGAGAAAGGGTGTTCTCTTCTCTTGCTTGTACAATTCCAACTCCATTGCTTAAAAATGGGTTGCCATATGATTTGTTTTTGTACACGCTTTTGAGACTTCGTTTTTTAAAAGAGTGCACAGGATTCGTAAGAGGAGCAAGGGGATTTTGTTTTGCAAGAGCCCATAGCAATTGCCAACATATATCGATTATTGGTTTGTCCATTTGTTTGAGCTGTCGACTTATGCCTATGCGGTTCATCAAAAATTCTGATTTAAAAATTGGTTGCTCTGAGTCATTTTCAAGACATTCATAATATAAGTCTCCTCCTGCAACAAGCGCTAAAGAACGAATGATTTCTGACCAAGCGGCAGTGGCTGTTGGGTCTCTTCTATAACCTATTGGATAGGAAGGCTCTCCAAATGCAAATCGTTCAAGATAACTATAACGAAAGCGTATCTCTCCAACATTGTAAACAGGAAATCTTGTTACACCAGGAAGAAGAAAAGCACTTACTACCCACTTACTAAGATGACGATATATATGAGCGCGACCATCGCGAAAGAAATAATAGGGCGAAAGACGCGTCATACTAGCTTGTTCTTCTCGCATAAGAGAACGTAAAGCTTTCTCGACACGGGTCCAAGTGGGAGTGATCTGATGAAGGTCTTGTAAATAAGAAGCTTTTTTCCACATAAAAAAATTGGATGCTGCATCTGATGCACTAGCAGGATTATGCGATTTGTTTCTTCTCACGAATAAGGCATCGTCCCATCCCCATTCTTTTCCCCATTGAAGATGTAAGCTTGCTTGAGCTTTACATAAGGCTATTTCATTTACGAAACTATGCATTTCTGCTAGAGTGTAGCCTTGACTCCGGGGAAGCACCTGTTGTAACATTTCACCTTTCAATCGAAAGGTTCCCATACTCATCATAAGAGCTTGAAAAATACGTTCTCGGTCTACCCAGTTTAGACCTTTCATTGTATAAACTTTGCGCCATCTTCGTTTTCGAAGCAATGGCTCTTTAATTGTGAGAAGAGTTCCAACGCCAAATCGAATGCCGTAGCGAGTTCGAGGAAACTTATCTAAAAGCCACAAAAGATATAAGAGAGCGGCAGGTGGGTTCCAATCATCGGGATTAAGAAGCTCCATCGTTTCCCATCCAGTAATTCCACCCTCTGGTGGTAAAGCAACCCATTCTCGTATATCCTGTTGACCTAGAGTAGCCTTGAGAGCTAGCTTTGCTTTCCGAATCTCTGGAGGGTCATCCTCTAGCTCTTCAATCTCATAGTCTTCTTCTTCTGCTTCTTTTTCTAATTGGTTTGGCATTCCTAAAATATCCCAATAATCTAATGTCAGATATCCGGTATTTGGAAGAAAACCAAACATTTTTTCTTCATAAGACAGGCCTCCCATAGATGACCGCTCTCGTAATTCTCTGACAGCTAAATAAGAATCACTATGTTCTGTCTCATAGAAGATGTTCAAGCCTTCAACAACAAATAAACAAGGAATCGTTGCAGCAGCAACCATAAAATGCCGTACCATATAGTCTTCTGCAATGGTTTGAGGACGATCCATACTTGGAGCAATTGTGCCATCATCTAAAATTTCATCTTCTCGTATTATCTGAAACAATGGCCCTGGGCCACCGTTCGTTGATCCATTTGAACCAACCGAAGAAGTGCCCCCAGCACTTCCTTTTGAAGAAATACCTTTTCCCTGCCGAGAAACATTTTTCTCTATTGAATTTTGACCAAATGTCCATTTCATGGAAATCGTTTTTCCGCTCATGCTCATTTGATCCTTATAAAGGGAC